GTACCGGCGCGGGGCGGGGGTTGCCGCCATATTGTTATGGCGCTGCCATAGCGGCCATTTGACAACACTGCATAAATGCACAATATTTATATAAATATTGTTCATTGCTGAATTCCACATTAACTAAACATATGATCCAAATAGAGCTTACTAAAAGCTTGGGCAATCCTCACCTCATGAGCTAGCATCTGGAATTGTGTTAGGCCCAATACAAATTCAATAATCATTTCTCATGAATGCATGACTATATCAGTGGATGATAATCGCAATTTAATAAAAAAAATATGCCTATGATCATAATAAAAAGAGAACCATAGATACACATCTTTCCTTTGTCTTTATACTTGTCAGCTACGAACATGTCCCAAAAATTACATATCTTTTCCCAAACCCATGATGTTAGAATGCCACAGAAAGTATCATTAGTCCTATTCAAAAAAGTCTTTTATATAATAGTCTACTATTTACTATAACTTTAAGGATACAAAGGAAAAGTTAGGTAGAACCTCATGTAATTTTAATCCTATTCAAAGTATTAAAGGTGTATCCAAACATATCGGTCACTAAAACTTTAAAAAATAAAATAAAATAAAGTTGGAGTATACTTCTAGATATGTATCTAAGGGTATTGCATATGTATCAGTATCAAATACAGGTATGACACATAATTTACAATAGAGAGCATTTGGGCTTCATAGTATGATGGTGGTTTGGTGAAGTATCAAAGAAAATGGAAAGATGTACATATTTTTTTCATTGACTTGGAAAGTTCTATGATAGGTTTGCAAGTCTTGGAAGAGGCCTGTGATAGTAATCCTCATGTGGATTTAGAGAGACCTAAGGGTGGTGTGTTACATTACTAATAGATTTTCCTTTCTGGTTGATTTTTCTTTTGTTGGTGGAGTATCTTGTCTAGCTAAGCTTGAACTTCTAGCTTTTAAAAAGCTTACTTCTGTTTAACTGATATATGGTTTTTCCCCCTTTGCAGACACATTCAGTCATTGCATAGCTTACATAATGCAATCAGTTCACAACTTGTAGCTGCAGAAAATCTCTCTGAGTGCCTTTCAAAACAGATGTCAGCATTGAGTTTAAGATCTCAAACTGAGGAAAGGAAGAATGTTAAGGAGCTGTTTGAAACAATAGGAATTCCATACGATGCTGCATTTGGCTCTCCTGATATGAAAGGTTATATGAAGACTCCTCCTAGTAAGAAGATCATGTTTTCTGATTTGACTGCTAATAAAGATCAATCTAGGAGAAATCACGCCAGTGTGATGAAGAGTTGTGAACCAGAATCTGCCAGGAGGAGAAGAGACTCACTTGACCAGGTATTACTGTGTTAGTTGCTTATGGATTACTTTACTTTTGCTCATTATACAAATATGCGGCAGAATTAAGCAGACAGATTTGTTTGTGCTGTTCAGTTGGTTGCTTGAATAAAGATTGTGTTAATGTATTTCTATTTATTTCTTCTACTGTTGAGTATCATAAACCAATGGAATCTTTGGTTTGATTATTATCATGTTTTCAAGATTTCTGCTAGTAGATGTGATTTTCTGTGCGTATGTTTTAATTGAAATAGCCCATCTATCTATTGAATATTGATTTAAAGGTGAGTGTTTTACATATTTGTATTAGTAAAAAAGAGGGGAGTGGACTGAAGAGTGTTTATGGAGGAGAAAAAGGAATGCTGCTAGAGGAATAGTGGTGGGAAAATGTAACAGAATGTAAACATGGTAGTGAGGTGAGGTATTGCGGAGAGGAGATTGTTCAGTGATTGGAGAGAGAAATGGAAACATGATTAAGGAGAGGGTGAGAAAAGTGGAGAGGCATAAAAGAATTCAAGTTAATTGGTGTTTCTGTATCAGCTTTGATTGTTAACTCGTATCACTGTTTTCTACATTCTTTTGTTCTTGTAACTTGTTTTCTGGTTATTGAGCAATATTAATTTGGGCACTTAACTGTGGCTTCGGCAACCCTCAAAAAGTGGGTAGTAGTGCTTGGTTTTAGGATCTCTAGAATGCCAATGGCTTCCTGCCGGGTAGTCATGGGGTGCCATTCCCTCTACCATTTTTTATGTACCAAAAGGAACAGGCCTTGGCTTTATCAATTTGCTATTGTTTGGTGTAATTGGTTGGAAAGGCAAGTTAGAATTTTTACTGATGAAGTGTTGTCTCTGCCCTCTTGAGTACATTTGGGGTTGAGTAGTTCAGGTTGTTTGATTTTTAGTTGTTTAATTTTATACCGACACATTGATTGAATTATTGAAATTTGATACAATATATTTGATGAATTTTATAATTTAAAAGAATGATATCCATAAGTTACATAAACAATACAATATATTTAACGATTATACTTTATTGTTTAATTAAATTTATTATTAAATTAAAACGGTTCCTTCTCTGATAGAGTTTTGGATCTGTCGCTGTGTGTATGGTTCTGAAATATTGCTTTGATTAATGATTATGACTAGCGAGTTTTACCGACTTTGTTGCAGAGTTGGACCTGTTTTGAGCCTCCTAAGACTACCATTAAAAGGATGTTACTGCAAGAACTTCAGAAACTGAATAGGAACGAATCATTAATTTCAATGAATAAAGAAAATAAAGTTTCCACATTGCAGGAATCCGTTCCTCGTCAAATAGATGACAGAATTCCTTCAATTGTCTTCCCTGCGTCTAAAATGAAAGGTGAGCAGCAAGCAATTGTTGTGCTGTTTCATAACCAAAATAGTTTATAATTTCTGACACTTTTCTTTCTTTATGAATATACTTGCAGCAAGCATTCTGGATTCTCATCTTGAACTTGAAAAGGTGTCACAAAACTCGAAGGCATTTATATCTGCTGACAGCAACCAAGTACCCACTCAGTTTTCAGAGTCCAAGTCTAGTATTTTTCAGAAAAACAATAGTTTAGTCATTCCCGCACAGCCTGCATTCCGTTTGTCACCTACAGTGGCGCATGGTCATTCCACAGAAGCTAAACATGCTGAAAAATCAACTGTTCAAAAGTTTGATATAATTTCAAATAGTGAAAATAAGCCTACTCTGCATTGGAAAATGCCTCAACAATCCTCAATCTCTACCTATTCAACCACAGAAACACCTTCAATGCTGATTAAATCTGTTGAATTGCCCATTACAAATACTAAAATGACTACGGCTGCAAGTTCTACAACCAGGGGCAAATTTTCAAGTGCATTTACTCCCGAGTCTAGGAGAAAAGACCTCCCATCCTCCGAGTCACACTCATCCGCTATTTGTGCACCTTCAACCTTCGTTGAAAAAGTTACCGAGTTCGATGTAGATAAAAGTTTGCCCAAAGAAAATATCCCATCAGTGCCCACATTTAAATCTCTGTTTTCTCCAACTCTTAAAACATCTTCCTCTTCATTGTCGTCATCTGTCTCATCTGCAGCAGTGCCTCCAGTTGTGGTGTCCGTGACATCAACCAGTTCGTTGACTAGTTTAAATGCCAATACAGATTCTAATCATGTATCATCTTCACCATCAACATTTCTTCACTTATTTAATCAGACACCTAAAGACACGGTGTCACCTAACCTACCTGGCTTGAAGTCAACTGTAGACTCACTCAAGTCAGAAATTCAACCAGTTGCTGCGCTTAAATCAGATATTCGACCAGCTACTGTACCTAAATCAGATATTCAACCAGCTGCCATATCTAATTCAAAGACCGATTTAGATGGTGCTGAAGCAGTCACTCAGCTAAAAGAACCTCTAAATGGTGCATCTGAATTAATGCTTGGACCTACAAGAAAAATCGGTCCTACTAACAATCAATCTTCCAACAATATAACAAGTTCTGATCTCAATGCTGTCTCTGTTTCTCAAGCAGCACAGCCTTCTGAAGCTCCGCAGCTTTCAACTTTCCTTCCTCTGCCATATCTAATTCAAAGACCGATTTAGATGGTGCTGAAGCAGTCACTCAGCTAAAAGAACCTCTAAATGGTGCATCTGAATTAATGCTTGGACCTACAAGAAAAATCGGTCCTACTAACAATCAATCTTCCAACAATATAACAAGTTCTGATCTCAATGCTGTCTCTGTTTCTCAAGCAGCACAGCCTTCTGAAGCTCCGCAGCTTTCAACTTTCCTTCCTCCTGCTAGTGTTTCAAGTGGAAAAAATGAGGGTTTGGATGTTGGAATCACGTATGAGGATGAGATGGAAGAAGAAGCTCCTGAGACAAGTAACACAGCTGAACTTAATTTGGGAAGTCTTGGTGGGTTTGGTATTAGCTCAAGCCCCAACCCATCAATGCCCAAGTCAAATCCTTTTGGATAATCATAACCATGCCAAATTAAATATCCAAAACAACCACCAACTTGAATAAATAACAACCATCAACTTAAATAAATAACAACCTTCATACAAACAAAATAGCATATTAAAAGTTATACTACTCCTATCATGCTCATGTATACTAGATTAAGTCTTATAAGTACTACCCTTACTTAGCATACTAGATTAATTTTATAAATGCCACCCTTACTTGGATAAACCTGAATTGAAACTCGGGCAGAAACTGAGACTATAGCACAGCTGCCTCCCCAAGGCTCCTTCCGTCTAAAACAGGGACCGGAGCTAAAATTAGGACAGAACCTCTTCCTCTGGATTTCCCTTGGTCTTCAAAGAGAAGAAGAGGGAAAGAAGAGAGTATAAGAGAAGAGAATGAGAAGTGTTTCTTGGGATGGTTTGCAATGGAGAAGTGAAGGCCTATTTATAGCCTTCATGACACATTAAAATAATGGAAAATAATGAAAAAATCTTAGACAAAACGAAATGGGATGAGTTGGATGCCATATTCTTTTCCGCACCGATTTTTGACCACCGAATTTGAATTTCTAGAAGGCCGAATGTGTGAATGGTTACTTCATGAAAGTTGTAGATGTTTCTCTTATCTTTCCATAGACACCGACTTTACATCATTTGGACAATCACAGCCCAAGTTATGCTCCAAAAACCGAGACTTGCCAATCAGCCCAGCGAGAAACAATTGTATCAAAAAAATTCCAATTTTGTCCTTCTATACGACCAAATTTGAAAATGGCTATTTCTGTAAAAGTTGTGCGTTTTTCTCTTAGATTTCTATTGAGACCAATGTTTCATCATTTGGACCACTACAACCCAAGTTATGCCCCAAAAACCGAGACTTGTCAGTCAGTCCAGCGAGAAATGATTCTTAAAAAAATTTCACAGCTATCTAATTAGATCCAACAACACACATATCTTTCTAAGCATAAATGGAGTGTGAATTATCTATATTTAAAGTAAAATATAACCACCAAATTATGACCAGATACCACATAATAATAATGACAATAATAATAATAATAGTAATAATCATGTTGGAAACTGAGATGTTACAGTACACACATAAAAATTAGTTGCTTAACAATAAAGTATGTTAAAAAAAATGAGATGATATATTTTATGTAGATCGAAGTTAAGAATTAAGATATTATATACAAAGTTTTGGATTCAAACTTTGTTGTCTTTGTGAATTCTATAGATAAAAAAAAATAAGTTAATGCTAATTTTTTTGGGCACTTATAGTATTATTTTCTAATCATAATTAAAATTTTATTTAAATAATTTGTATAATAAAATTTATAGACTACTAAGATTAGCTTAATAAATAAAAGGAAAAGAGTTGAAATAAAAGCAAAAGAACCTAGATTTTTAGACTTTTTTTAAATATATATATATTATTTAAATAAGTTGAGCCCTTTTTATTTACCTAAATAACCTATTTTTCGGGTACAAGTAAGAAATGGGTTACTCAATGGCATTTTGAAATTTTTTTTCAAAAGCCTATTAAGAAATCGGTTACCTAGTAACTGATTTCTCATGGGTCCAATTTTTTTTTCTTCATTTTTTGTTTTTTGTTTTTAAAAAATTTAAAAGAAATTTTAATTTATTTTAATTTTCAGAATTTGGAAATGAACTTTTTATAATTAAATTATATATTTTTTATTTTGAAATATTTAACAATATAATTATATATAAAATTTAAAAATTATGTTTAAT